CCCTCTCTCACCACTCCTATTCAATATAGTATTAGAAGCTCTAGCCAGAGCAATCAGGCAAGAAAAAGGAATAAAGGGTATTCAAATAGGAAAGGAGGAGGCCGCGATTACTTTAAAAGCACAAAGTATAACTTAGAAATCTCCTTTTTCAAAGGTTGCAGTAATCTACCTTCCCTCCAACTCAAAAGTGAGATGGCCCATCTTAGACTTGTCACCAAAATGTGAATAATCTCTTATTTTAGTTTCAGGTTTTTTTGGTTTTGTCTGTTTTTTGAGACAGAACCTGGCTCTGTTGCCCAGGCTGGAGTGCAATGGCGAGATTTCGTTTCACTGCAACTTCCACCTCCCAGATTCAAGCAACTCTCCTGCCTCAGCCTCCTGAGTAGCTGGGATTATAGGTGCGCACCATCACACCTGGCTAATTTTTGTAGTTTTAGAAGAGACAGAGTCTGCCATGTTGGTCAGGCTGGTCTCGAACTCCTGGCTTCAATTAATCCACCTGCCTCAGCCTCCCAAAGTGCTCGGATTACTGGTGTGAGCCACTGCGCCCAACCTAATTTCTTTTTTAAAATGTGGTGTCTCATCATTTTAGATTTTTGTTTCTTTGAGTGCCTGTGAGGTTCAGTACTGTTTAATGTCTGTTTCTTCTTCAGTGAATTGCCTATTTGAGCGTTTTCCAGAAGGGTAGATGTAGTCAATCCCCCTTTACAAGTAAGGAGGAAATGGAAACTCAGAGAGTTAAGTCACTTGTTCATGGTGGCCCAGCCAGCTGAGTGTGGAACCATTTAGAAGTCAGACAACCAGCTTCTTCATCTATTCCTTCTCCCCTACATTGCTGAAAAGAAGACTAGGTCCTCAGACATGGACTGGATATGCTTAGAAAAACACCAGCTGGGGACTGTCTATCCAGGCTCAGGAAGCCCAGGAGGCTTTCTGGAGCAGGACTCTGTGAGCTGAGCATATGGCGTGAGTGACAGGACTGGGGTGCTGATCAGGGCTGCAGTATTGACAGACAGCAGGGGTGAAGCCGGCTTCTTCCTAAGGTCTCACTCCTGCCTCCCTCTCCCATTCCCCTGCTGCCCTGCTCTCTGACCAGCTTGCCCGCTATACCAAGGAAGGCTTCCTGCACCTGGGCGCCCTGGGGACCACCACACTCCTCCCTGACACGCGCTGCCTGGTGGACAACTCCAAGAGCCGGCTGCCGCAGCTCCTGGACTGCGACAAGGTCAAGAGCAGCCTGTACAAGCGCTGGAACTTCATCCAGGTGAGTACTGTACGGACAGGGCCAGCGCCCAGAGTAGCAGCAAGAGGCTGTAGACCAGAGAGGAATCCTTCTTCCCCAGGGGTCCCCAGCAAAGTGCAACCCTGAGCCGAGATCTCCCTGTCCTGGGCTGGGCTTGTACTCCCAACGCGCTTCCTGGGGGCAGCTGTGGAGTTTCTGCATGAGTAGCATTTCTGATTCCTACCTCAGTGCTAGTCCCTGATTAATTCTGATCATTTCTGATTCCTAGCTCAGTGCTAGGCTCTCATCAATTCT